AACATTAAACCCTAAACCCTACACCCCAAAGCCCTAAACCCTAAGTGGGTTACCGAACAGCCTAGGCAATGACGGACTCGTCCATGACCTGCAATCTGGCTGTCCGGAGCTCAGAGAAGCGTTCTGGCTTTTAGGGTCTTGGGATTTATGGCGTGCTCCACTGAGCCCGGGTGTTTCTTGTACGAAGAGGCCCCGAGCAGCTTAAACTTAGGTTGTCGCACTCCTCGGCGAACCTCTAGAAAAGATCTGAAAGTGGAACAACTTGGTTCTGGTTTGGGTTTTCGGGACAAAGGTTGCTCTAAGCCCTAAAGCGATTCGATCCGCATTCTGAATTTCCTCAGCTCAGATGGTCCCGGCGAGCAGTTGATGCGAGTGACGCTTTCCGAGTTTCGGACCTGTTCTCGAATCTTGAAACCCTAAACTGAGTTTTGCTGTTCGACTTGGGCTTGCTCTACAGACTCTACAGTTAACCCCGAGGGTCACGCATACTGCTTGCGAAGCGCGCAGATCGGAGGTTTGGAGGTTTAGGGTGTATAACTCCTTGAAGGCCCTTTGCAGAACCCCGATGTAATCACCATCGTAACCCTAAGCCCGAAACCCTAAACCCTAAACGACGGTCGCTTTCGAGGCCAGCGCATTGCGAAGGAAGCTCTGGAACGAAACCCAGATCAGAAGAACCTCCAGCAGTGCCCCGGCAAAGAGCGGGGCTTTCCCGGGAGGGCTTGCCGGCTCGGCGCTTATTTAGGGGGTGGAATGGGCTTCTCGGTGGTTTGGGCATGTTGGGGCTGTTTATATCTTAGCTTTCGTGACGTCAGTTCCCAATCTGCGTGGCACCGCCGAATCAAATGTTCCGATGAACACACGGTTCCGGTCTTCAGAACCCTAGACCCTAAACGCTAGACCCTACTTCTTGCTGTTTGGATGGCTTCTGCAGGGAGCTCACAGGCTAAGCTGGAGCTGACAGTAAGAAGGGCTCGAATGGTTAGTGCCCCACGTCCGGCGATAGTTTCGTTGCTCACATGTTCCTTTCTTCAGACTCTCAGAACGAACCGAAATCCTACCAAGTCAGACGCCTAAAAACGGTGTCCACGCAGGTTATTCTTGCAGAGCTGAGCCCCCTGAAAGAAAGAGCAGGTACCTCGTGCACTTCGAGCGCTTCGGATGACTTCGGACAGCTGGTAGGGCCTGCAGCGCATGGAGTTTTCGATAATCAGGTATTGGGCTCAGTAAGGGGGTCGAGGGCTGTGCGGTCGGTGTCGGTGTCAGTGTTTGCATGTCTATGTATGTATGTAATCATGTGTGTGTGTATATATATATATATATATGTACTTGTGTGTTTGTGTCTGGTCGGTCAGTCGGTCGGTCGGTCGGTCGGTCTGTCTGTCTGTCTGTCTGTCTGTCTGTCTCTCTGTCTCTCTTTCTCTCTTTCTTTCTTTCTCTCTGTCTGTCTGTCTGTCTGTCCGTGCTGAGCAACAGGTATACAGCAGACAGTACAGGTAGGCATGCAAACATGCGCTCATTCATAGTCGGACATGCGTGTTATCTTTCTCAGCTTGTTTCCAGTTTCTGTTGTTGACAAAAATGAAGCCATTTCTGTCACAAAACAACCGGCCAGGCCAATACAATAAGCCTCAGGCTTAGTTACATGTGGATGGTTGTTATGCAAGGATCCAGGTTTTTGGGAGTTTTAGGGTTTGGGCTTCTGGCTTTCGGTGGCAGTTCAGGTTCCAGGCCTCATATAAACGGATCTGAACGAATAACTACGATTCTGTGCCGCTGTAGACCTTGTAGTCCTTGCAATCATCATATAAGATAGTGACAATAACTATGCCGAAATTATACCATACCTGCCAATATCTACGGCCCCTAACATTGTGCTCTTTGAGAGCAGCTGTAGAAGAATGAGGCTCCCGAGAGTCGTGTCGAGTGCGGGCTGTGCGGGGTCCTTGCCTGCTTCTGAGCTCCTAAACCCTACCTGGACCCTATGGAACCTGCCTTCTTAGGGTCCGTTTTGTCATTTCCTGACACAGGCAGAAGCCCTCGAAAAGGTGGGTTGTTTAGGTTGTTTGGGGTTATGTCAGGTATTCCCTCATGCCCAAACACCCCAACTACTGTGCTGCAGGACAGATGCGAAGCATGGCTGTCTGGCAATCATAGGGAGCTGCGGTGGCTGAGGAGAGTTTCTGAGTTCATAGGAAAATCTTGGCCCTAAGCCCTAGGGCGTCATTACTGGCAGTAAAGAGACTGGGGAAGGATTGGGATCCATGGGTAGGTCGTTCAATCATAAAGTTAGGGTTTAGGGTTTAGGGTTTAGGGTTTAGGGTTTGGGATGGTGGGCATGGCATGTGCCGGGAAATGGTGCAAAATCACTGCACTCCGGCTCTTTCCTATGGGCGAATCATGCTCATCGCTACCTTTTCAACCTTTCTGGTGCTTAAGGGCGAGTGGGAGAGTGGATCCCTATAGTATGCCTTACCCTATATCATACCTTGTAGTAGTCGTTTTATTCCTTCCTCCACTCTTGCTTAAGCACCGGGAAGCAACTGCATCTTATGCTCTCTGGTTCGAGCGGATCCAGCAGAGGAAATGAGATG